ATGGAACGGCGTGATTTGAAAAAACGGCACTAGCGACCTCAACAATAACGGCGTAAAGTTGTTGCTGTTTTGTGCACAAAACGGTCTGTTGATTATGAACACCTTCTTCGAACATCGAAGAGCGCTTCAGTATACCTGCTGCCGTAAAGCTTGTGCACAGAAGTCGATGATCGATTTGATAATCGTACCGTCTGACTTAAGACCCTCGGTAATCGATGTTCATGTTAAAAGAGGAACAGAGCTATCAAATGATTACTACCTTGTTGTTGGCACGCTGCGCTGTAAGAAATGGAGTACCACACGAAGATCCGGTGGCAGAAACAACCGGAGGATCAAATGGGAAATATTTTCTTCGGTGGGCACGAGAGCAAAATTTGCAAACGACGTCGCACGACGTTCGAACATCATCCCGATGATGACCGCTAATGTGGAAACCGAAGTTGGAGCACTTTAAAGGGACTTACTCTGGGCGGCCGGTGTATGCTGCGGTTTAAGATGGTCGACATGCTTCCTGCGAGTCAGAAACAAAGTTTTCGGTAAACAACTAAGTTACAACTCGCTGTCTGCGAGAAGGAAGCTGCAGTAAAGAGACGGCTTAAAAACAAAGGGTCCAACTGGAATGCGGTATGCCAAAGCGCGTAGGACAGCAGCAAAAGCAGTGGCCAAAGCGAAAGACGATTTTAGTTAAAGTTTGGCGATGTGCAAGAGTCGAATTTTCAGACGGCAAACAAAGAATTCTGGCAGATCGTCGGCTGCTTTTGAAGTCGAACAAAAGGAAGTTTAAGGGTCTTAAAGAACAGGTCTGGACGCCCTCCTATCATGGGTGAGGACATACTTCGGCGATGAAGAGAGTACTTTGAGGAACTCCTTTGACCCAAGAAACGGCTGGAGGCAGACACCTGAATAACAGCAGGCAGCAGATGTTAGTCTTTCAGAAGATAGTCCCAAAAGTTTGAAAAGTAGCTGGGCTACTGAAATCGATGAAATCTGCACTGAGATGCTTCAAGCTGTAGGCGAACAAAGAATGTTGTGGCTAACACTTGCATATCAAATAGCAGCGACTACGATAAAGAGTCAGGTGGAATAGAGGCCTGGGATAATAGAGCACCTTTCGAGAAAGGAGACCATCGGGACTGTCCTAATTATTGGATCATTACCTTATTGAGCCTGCCTGAAAAATTCTACGCAAAAATGTAGGAAAGCAGATGCCGCAGCTTACTTGACTCTAAGATTTAAACAGTGTGGTTTCAGGTCAGGTAGATACACCTGTGTCCAATTCATTGCCTTACGTCAGATTGTTAAGAAATCCTAAGAGTTCGTTCATCTGATTTACATGGGCTTTTGCGGTATGGAGAATGCCTATGGCCAGATCCAATGAAACAAGCTTCGAGTTTGTGTCCAAATATATGGGATAAGTGGAGAGTATCTAAAAGCCACCCTGTTATTATATGCTGGTAGCAGGTAATGGGTCAAAGTCAGTGGCATTAGGTCCCAACTTCTCAACGCGGACACTGATCTTCCCCAGGCTGCGATCTTTCTCCTTTTCTATTGTTTTGTACGCAGATAGGAATCCGGTGCAGCCAGGGCAAGAAAGTCTCTACTTGCAAACATCCTTGTTTTGTTGACATCTTATGAAACTAATCTCTGGCGCTCCTTGGAAAGGTTGGCAGCCGAATGATTCATTGCCGGCATGCGTGTAAATCTGTTACAAAGAAAAGCCAGGTGCTTTATTACTCCCCTACTTGATGCGCTTTGCAGATAAATCGCAGGAGCAGCACAGCAGATTGCGAAATGTACGCCCCTTGAGTTGTGTTTATCTTTAGCGAGAGCCAAAGCTGATTCCTGGGGGATGCTCGGTGAGATGTTGGAGCCGAATTCCCTGATGGCAAACAAGGCATTCTGGCAGAGCATCCCCCGGATCCGAGTGAAAAGAAAGGCAGTCTAAGGGTGTTGAATGGCCTGTCTCGACACCCTCTTACCGAAGATATAGACATTCTTTGGCGATGGAGATAGTACTTTAAGAAACTCTTTAACCCTGAGCAATCGCAATCCGCTCTAAAATGTTCAAATCATCAAGGGAACAAGGTATGTGCTGGCATACACATCTCTGTCAAACTCCAATGGCTACGGGAAAGACACCGGTCGACTGGAGAACGGAAGTTATTCTACCCATATTCCAATTATGGGTGTGTTGGTGCTTTACCTTATTGAGCCTCCCGGGAAAAGTCTACACAAAGCTGCCAGAGAGGAGGTGCCGCAAAATAACTAATCCCAAAACACTAGAAGAGCAATGTGGCTTCCGGCCGGGTGGAAGTATACTTCTGACCATATATTGGCGTTACTCCAGACTGTTTAAGTTCGCCATCAGGTCTAAATGTGCTTTGTTAGCCTAGAAAAACGTATGCATGGATCCCGCGCAACAGTCTTTGGACATGCCTTCGTGCGTACGGGATTGATGGCCAGCTCTAAGGGCCATCCAATCACTGTATTTTGATAGCAGGTGCTGTGTCAGAGTTAATGGCGTTAAGTCGAAAC